AAATTATCGAGTAAAGGAATTTCATCCTCCAGGAAATGGCAGTCGCTTTTCTAGAAACTGCACTAGCAGTGAAACAAATGACATGAAATGCTGATTAGAAAAATATAAAGAACTTTCGAATGATGAGGCCTAGTTTATAGGCCGGATAAAAATTGCAACCACTTACTGATGAGGCTCACATCCAATARAAGCTCAATGAAAAATAACAAACCTGCCATTTCGGTCTGGATGGTCTTGTTGTCGCTCCATAATCCATACGGGACAGCCTTGACTCGTATTTTATATTCAGTGTATGGTTGAAGACCTGGGATGATTACACTTGTATTACGTGGACCAACCTCGAATTCTCCCTTTGTGCTTACGTCCACAAGGTAGCCAGTTATAAGTTGAGTTAGTTTATAACATGKTTGAATAGTCCATTGTACGATTATTGATTGTACAGATGGTGTGGCCTTAACACGTGGTGCTTCTGAAAAAACACCAATATGAAATCATCGGGTAATATGTATGGGTAATACCGCTGAAATGTTGTAGCGACGCACCTTGATTGACTAAATGCACKTTGACTCTCATCGTGTTGCACTCGTGATAATCTACAGGAACGAATTTTATGTATAGTGCTTCTTGGATTGTCTTTAAAGCATGACGAACTACTGTGTTCGCATTCATAGTTGTCTTCGTTTTATCCTTATCGATAAACCAACAGCCCAAGTTTAACAAATTTGTCCATTTGTGACACTACAAGGAGTAATAATCATAAACATAAATCATAGAATCATTACATTCGTTATAGTTGTATCTCGATGAAATAAACTTCTTGCCTCAAAAAGGCGATTTTASCCTTTCATAAGGTTTTATTAAAGCTATATACTATTCAGCTATAAACTAACACATGGCCHGAAAATCCGGACATTTGAGCCCGCAATCGCAGCGGTACTTCGCATAAATGTATAAAAACATGTTTGTAAATTTTACAAAGAAATGTATGGATCAAAAAAAAATATTTGATAATAACATTTCATCTGTTTTAATTGGAAATATTCCATAGATGAATTCGTAGAGGGAAACTATTCTTGATTCCACTGTAGGAAATCCAAATAAATCCAATATTGTTAACAGCGTCCTTTTTGACAATATATTTTCCTTTCGTCGTCTCCCTTTGGCCTTGTATCTCATGGTGAAAATTCGCGAAGAAGCGAAATTTCACCATATCTGATCGTGTTCCTTTACATGTCACTGATATTCCATAGATCATTTCTCAAAGTCCACATATTGAGGTAGGAACACAGCGATTTTCAGCTATTTTGAAGACGATCAACAGCGTCCTTTTTGGTACTAGAAATCGTACAATTTGAAAACACTAACTTGACGGTGAAATGGCTGGCRAAGACGCGTGTTTCACGCGAATACTTGGCCTAATCTTCCATTTTCTTTCCATTTTATTCTCCATGTTTGGTACCAAAATAAACCTTAGAAACGTGGCTTTCAGACTGGGACTGCTTTAATTTTGGTGGTTTTTACTGGCGCCTTGCGCGCACTGGTAAATAGCGCAGATAGCGGGAAATACGAACGAAAGATAGGCCAATCAAGTCTAGTGTAAACAATGTCAGACCTTTTAAATTCCTTAGAAATGTACAAGATCACAATATCAACTGATGATCATTGTTTAAAATACCTGAGGGAAACGTGTGTTCCAGCAAATAATATTATCTACACTATGAACATTCCAAACGAGCACCTCACAAGGCGCTAATGAACTCAAGGATCAGGGTGTGCTATCCCAATATTCGTTTGTCGATGTTTTGAACGTTTCGATTTTAGCCCAGTATTGCTATTAAGATAAAGGATCGTTGCATAAGAGTAGAAAATTTGATCTTCAAACCTCAAGGGAACWTGTAGAAAGCTCTATTTTGGTGGGAAAACCCGCTGACTCGTCCCGGGCTCAAATGTCCGGAATTTCTGGCCATGATATTGTCGTCTATGTCGTTACCACATAAACAATTCTGTAAGATGTCTCTCCATATTCAGTCCATTTAGTTGAATATTTGTGCCTTGTTTAAACCTAAGCTTATTGATAAATGTTTTTATCCACAAGAAGACAAATATTAAGAAGTGAAAAAATGTTCGACCCGTCAGGAAGTTTTCACGATTAACCTAATTGATGCGTACACTATTTGAATATTAAAAMAAAGAAAGCTTGTTATAGTGTTGAGGTATTTCGGYGCRGAAGAAACCTTAGGAAATGAATTTAGAACACGGCTGTCTTTACCTTCTACCAATGCCCTATCAGCTATAACCGGTTATAGTTTTACRAAACATTAAGAGGGTATCCACTCTACATATAGGGAGTAGTGGGGACGAAAAACTAGAGTCCCTTACCTACAAACAGCCACGAAAAAAACTAGAGAAATGTGATCATCCTTTAGCTTGAAAAATTACTTTTTTCAGCCTTTTAAATACTGAACGTGTCGGTGCCGACATGGACCCGTTATCCTCTTATCTGTTAAAATAATGACGCAAGACAAAAAAAAAAACCGCAAACCATAGGTTAACCAATTAAATAAGACGGTAACTTTACACGACTTTCATAATGGCCTACATTAATTAGCATATTATAGCTCAATTAATAATGACAAATGAAAAACACTCAAATGGTAGATATCAAAGAAAAATATTAAATCCTCTTTAAGTTATAAGGGATAGAAGAGGTACAAAAAGACCAAAACAAATCCCTGTATTTTTATTCCATAACTTTGTTAGTATTTGGCCCATAAATTCAAAACTTTTCATGAATACATATTTCTGATAGTTCCTTCATATGACAGTGTTGAATGTTTCCATAATATTATAAATTGTACAAAATCGATGGTAGGCACTTATGAAAGTGGTCTATATCATTTTAACAGGTTTATGAAATATTATTACCTGATTTACATTGTCCGAAAACCATTTCCAAACTAACCATGGTATGTAACATCATCACTACTAGTATTTTCAAACTATCCATTACCCACATGCAAGTTTTTAACAATAACTCGTTGACGATAAGTAGAAAAGAACAGACACAATTTTTTCTTGAACGTTCCGTTTCGATCTCCTTTTAAGGAGGAAAACCTGAAAGTTACATGGAAACGTCTGCAAAGTTATATGTTTCGAGTTCTCTTAGCATTTTGTTTTTTGGTCTTCCGAATAAGCTTTCATTGGTCATAATATGAATATAGAAATAAAAGATGACGGTGAATATTCAACGCCCGCTGTAATTGGTCAATTCATGACTTTGTTTACACGAAAGCTGATCAGAACTTCAATACCGGGAGGCCTGGAAATGAGTCCTGGAAGTTGGAATTCCGACGTTTTGGGGGGTAAATGAATAATGATGATTCATAATAATCCCAGGGCGACCCCATTTTGCCAAAGAAATGTAAGTTTAAGATTTTTTTAATACAAATTCTTTTTTTTCGGTTTTGATACCCTGGTCCCTGAGGTCCAAGTTTTTCACTCTTCACTTCTTGTTTTTCGAGCACTAAAGGGTGAGTAAACAGCGCTTCGCGACAAAACAATACAAATAGCGAAGGTGAGTGAAAAATAGAACCTCTGGGACCAGGGTACAGTGTTGACAGTTCCTAGCTTAATTTCATTTATAATCCAGTAAATTCTACTTAATTGAAACCATATAACATTAATTTGTTTCCGTTCCTGCTAGAGCCGAGGTACGACTGAACGAAAAATGTTAATTTACATCAAACTGTTTCAGCATAGAGTTGTTTCGCCTTCACAACCGACTTTTTTATCTGACCATTGACGWAGCTGGTAATTATCAGAGTAAGACATCAGAACATGGAGRGTTTRAAAACACTGGTACTGATAGTGTACACCATGGTTTGTTTGGACATGAGTTGKGGAAAAGATAATTCAGGTATAATTATTCTATTAAGTGATATGATGATCTCGTCGAAAGGTAGACAGCAAGAACACAGGAAACAATTCCATTATTAAAGATATACTCGTTTGTGATATAGCTGATATAGAACAGTCAAGCTCTAAATAGTTACTCACAAAAGCCGGAATTAGCAAGATTTAACTTGATTCGCGGATTGCTGTCGATGTATCTAACAGAAGTATTAAAAAAAGAGGATAACAGGTTCACCATTCGGTTTCTAAGGTATTTCCGGGACAGAGCCAMGAGGCTAGAAACTTAATTTCTTTCCTGAAACGATCACTTTCATTGGAAGCAGTACAACAACACAGTCACGTTTATACTGCAACCAACATTCTAATTGCTCACTGTAAWTATTCTTTCAATTCTTTCTTTTCAATAATTTTGACCCACTTTCCATTTCGTCACAGTAACAAATAACAGTAACAAATAACCGACTGATATTTTGTACTTTACTAGAATCAGTTCTAATCTTAATTTTACTTCTAACGCATTTTGACTTAATTTGAAGATTTATTTAAAAAAGAATGTAAGTGGAAAAGCATTCAATGATTCATTAAAAAATCAAAATTTTGTATCCGAAAAAGTCTTTGTGGAAACGTTTGTACATAAGTAGTGTTCGGTCACAAAAAACAATAATTTTGGTATCGAAACACAGTAACAATGTRGAATGGACAATGCCCAACCGTTGTTTCGKTTAATGTAGTAGTATAGACGATATGTTTTGTTTATTGCTGAGAGGTCTAGTAAAGGTCTATAAGGTAGAAAAAACGTTCTTCTCTCTCACAAGATAATCATTATATAACATGATATAAGATAAAATCGCGCAAATTGATTGTACTGGAGAAATTCATCRAAAGAGATGACTATAGAGTTAATTATGATAAAAAAATTATAGATAGAAAGCACTTGCATGATTCAGGCTCGCTACCCCAAGGAAACAACAACCCTGAAAAAGACATCACATACTAGGTAATTGTGACTCCAAATATAAGCCAAGATCATCTTTCATATAGTAGGAAGATCTCCTTAATTATTCTCATAMTATCATATATCTTGATAGGATGCATCGAGAGATCTCTTGTTGGTGAGAATCGTCTAATCATTCCTAACAGTAGCTACACAGCCTCTTCGTTCTTATACGACAGTAGGCAGCGTAGAGATCAAGTGACTGGAAAACTATACTGGGACAGGCGATACGTACCACACAGTGCAAGACTAAATGGCCCATTTGGATGGTCACCACGTGGTTATCATAACCCTGAGGATTACTTACAGCTGGACCTTGGTACCGTACGAGCCATCACTGCTGTAGCAACACAAGGAAATGGCGAATCTACATTAAATGAATGGATAAAAACATTTAAGCTTCGGTTTAAACAAGACACAGGTTCAACTAAATGGATTGAATATGGAGACATCTTACAAAATTGTTACATGGTAACAACATTATGTATAGTTTAAAACACGATAGAGAGTGTCTTATCAGGTATAAAGATTCTTCAAAAACTCCAGCACTAATTTGAAACTCAAATCTGTTAAAATTCTTGGAGAAATTGCCGTAAAAATACGTTTTGAGATAAATGGGGTAAACTGATCATGCGCGAATCACTTTACAAAGAGACCTTTGCTAGGGTTACGGACCTTTATATCTGATAAAGGTCACCCTTATTAGTATTCTTTATATAGGCCCCCCCCATATAGAATATCAATAAGGAGTGTTTTATCAGATATAAAGGTCCATGCATGTGACCAAATAGGCTCATCCTATTGGCTTAATAACTCGACGTTAATTATGTATGAGTTTTTGAATGTKAGTGTATAGCTGAATATTATRTAAATTCATTCTGTCGTCTCAGGAGCGCATGATTTATGCTGACGATTAACCCACACTTTCAAAAAACAGCAAACATAAACCCTTGTAGCTATATGAACGATGACATCTGGACACGCTAAACGCATAGTAGCAAGACGTCTCTAGAAAAGTTTTCCTCTCATTCGCCCACGCTCAATGTTGTAGCGCAAGATGTCATCATACTGAGAAGAACATGAAAATAGATTAAACATCACATTGTACAGGGGAGCGGAGATAAAGCACGAATTCCAACGTGTTGGATGAAACAGTTTGTTACAGTTACGCGTTTTAATTGCCCACGTAAAATATGGCCCTATTTTAAGGTGCCTTTACCCAGTGGGCCAAATGCCTGGTTAATCGGTGTAAATCGCGTTACAGAATTAACTTGACCAAACTTTATTTTGAAAGTCTCGATTTTATACTAGTACTATTTATAAGTTAAAAAGAATGCAATTCTTATTTTTTACGCTAAGGCTTTCTCCTTATTGTTGCAATTACGCAACAATGAATTATGCACGCGTACAAATTTCGCGCACATGCACCGGAAATCTATTCCCTCTGTGTTTTCATACAACAAATCTTACAATGTTCAAATTGAAATTTTTAAATTTTGAATTAAAACTGAAGTCACACTGATCGGCCAGAATGTAACGATTCTGTGTGTGATTGTTACTTTTTGTAGTGTGGGTGGCTTAATCAGGGCTGTTGGTGCACTGATAAAGAGAAAACGAAAACGATGACCGCCAACACCGTAGTTCGTCATAATTTAAAGACAATCCAAGAAGCACGGTACATAAGATTTGTGCCTGTACAATTTCACAATTGGAAGACGATGAGAGTCAACGTGTTTTTTATTAATCAAGGTACGTCGTTACAACATTTCAGCGGTATTACCCATATATATCGCCATGTCGATCATTTGCATTCATGTTGTCAATTTTCTAGAAGCACCACGTGTTAACGCCACACCCTTTGAACGATCAATATTTGTACAATGGACTATTCAACAATGTTTTAAACTAACTCAACTTATCACTGGCTACCTTGTGGACGTAAGCACAAAAGAAGGAAGTAAATCAGTCATGGTTGGTTCACTTGCTACAAGTAAAATCATCACAGGGCTTCAACCATACACTGAATATAAAATACGAGTCAAGGCTGTTCCGTATGGATTATGGAGCGATAACAAGACCATCAAGACTGACATAGCAGGTTTGTTAACTTGAAAGTGAGCTATTTGGTATAAAATCTTGTGTCTATATCTCTTTGACTTAGTYCCACAGGGAATCCAAAGCGTTGTTACTTTGAAAACACTCTCACCAAATTCTATCAGCGTCACGTGGAAGGTRAGAACATCAAACTGAAAGACTGGAATATGACTGAATCTAACCAGAAGATATTTCTTGTCTTGTCAGCATCCACAAAAGCATTCTATCAACGGACCATTAACAGGTTATAGAGTAACTTACACAGCAAACAAAGTCCAGACAAAGAATGTTGACATAGGTGTTCTCAACACGTGGAATATTACATCACTAGAAAAGTGCACGTGGTACAGTGTAACGGTGTCCGTTAAWAACTCCAAGTACATCGGTCCACCGAGTAAAAACGCCACTATAAGAATTGGAAATGGTAAGTGTTGATTTCATCATTTATTGAATAACCTCATGATGTATTTGTCTCCGATCACTCGTTCCTCATTACCATTCACACACACACAGAAATTTCCAGCAGCATTGAAGTCTTTTCAGTCTTAATCACGGGCGTATAAATATGAGTCTCGCATACAATGTTTTCTACTGGCTGAGGACTGCTAAGTGCAAAGCCCGAATAGATTGAATATACCAAACAGT